GGATGAGCACTGGGTGTTGTATGGAAACCAATTTGACAATAAATTTCATATAAAAAAAAAAAAGAATGTTTGTGATAAAAGAAAAGAACCTGGGATAGTATGAAAAATATACGTTAAAAACTATAAACATATATGGGAAATATGCTTGACTTAAAAATGAGAAAAAGAACAATATCTAACATATTTTGCTTTTCAAAGTGCCACTGCTGCAAAATGCAACTATGATTTAAGCAGTCCAGTTTGCTTTTCAGTTTGCGACTCCCGGTCTAGAATGTGAGATTTTTGTGAGCCTGCTTGGGAACTTAATCACTAATTGCTAAATTTCATTACAGTAATAATGCCTGTTGTTGGAAAGAAACTCTTTTAGGAGCTATAGTTCTTGATACCAAGTGGTATAGGATACAGCCCCTTCCCTCAAGGAACTATCTAAAGGTTGTTACTCATTATTTTTTTTTAATTATTTTTTTAACATTTATTTATTTTTGAGACAGAGAGAGACAGAGCATGAACAGGGGAGGGGCAGAGAGAGAGGGAGACACAGAATCCGAAACGGGCTCCAGGCTCTGAGCTGTCAGCACAGAGCCTGATGCGGGGCTCGAACTCACGGACTGTGAGATCATGACCTGAGCTGAAGTCAGACGCTCAACCGACTGAGCCACCCAGGCGCCCCGTTACTCATTATTTTAACATTTATTGGGCTTCTCTGGGGGTCAAACACTGTGCTGGACTGGTGATGCCAGAAAAAATAATAGTGTTCCCTCATGAGAAGTTTATAGGCAAATTGAAGAGGCGCATGACTAAGCAAGCAGGTACAGTGCAGAGTGATCAGTGCGGGGAGAATGTGGGCACAGGGCGCAGTGAGAGCCTAATGTGTCAGACAGGTAAGGGCTGGGTGTGGGGGCGTGATGAAGGTAGTGAGAAACAGAACCAGATGATCTGCTGGGAGATGATTATCCATGGAGTCTCAGGTGTTTCTTGCACACAGAGCCACTGAGTATTTTTACTCTGGACTATCTTTTCAAGGGTGTCTGTATACCAAGTAGGTTTGGAAGACAGAGATACTCCCTCCAGAAGGAAGGGTAGGCATGCTTACTGTCCAGTATAATAAGGACAAGGTCTCCCTCTGCCGACTTCTCATTAAAAAAGATTTGTGTGCCTTAAGTTCAGGGTTCCTCTTCTGTAATGCAATTCACTGAGTATGCAGGTGCCACCTGGGCCCGTCCATTTTGCCCCCGTGGCACTTGAGGACAAAGAGAACTGATACAAATATGCCAGTTCTCCTGCTGCTTGCTGTGCCCTGAGCAATACAGTCTTTTGTCTCTGACCTAGGAACCTCATGCTTCTGCCAGCATCTGTGAAGCTAGCAAACCAACTTGTTAAGCTTGTAAGTAGAATAAACTCTCAGATAGCCACATTTCGTGATAAGTTGTACTCCAAAGCTGGTTTAGGTTTTATGTCACTCTGCTTTCTCTTCCTTAAAACCCTAAGCCCTCAGATGTCTCTATTTCTGTCTCAACCTTTTTCTGTTGATAAAAATGTAGTTATTTTGGTTGGATTTGCATTTGTTCTCTCTGTCGCACAGAAGCACATCAACATCCCTGAGGTGTGATGCTGGATTCACAGTCAGACACGTCCGTGCTTCCTCCTCTCCCTGGCATTTCATTTCTGTAAGTCGCCAGCCACTGGAATATTAGCATAGTTAGGGTAGCCATACACTTCACAGAAATGTTTTAAAATAAACAAATTAAAATAAGCCAGGAGAAAGTTGTGATAAAGTTAATTAGGAAAAGATCACTTCCTGCACAACATGGGAGAATGTAAGAATCTCATTCTGGGGCTTGGCATGGACAAGCACCATGTAACAGATGACGATGTGAAACCCGGGTGTATTTTTCTCAACCTTCCTGTCGCTGCTCAGATGTGTGTGCATTGTTCAGTCAACAGTCCATAAAACAGGCTTCATTTGGTCTTGCTTGTGCTGTTTTTGGGTGTCTGTGTGGGTGTGTTGGTAGAGGTGGGGGACTGTGTTCATTCAGGAAAGGACTGGAGGGGTAGGTGGGTGAAATTTACTGAAAATGGCAAAAGCAAACAAAGTCCCATCTGAAGAGTTTGTGCTTAACTGGTACTAACAGTGACAGAGAGAATGGCCATATCTGCCTCAGACACCATGCGATCTTAGAAGGACAAGCCCTGTAGGGTGATGTCAGATGTCAGCCCTCTGCGAGACACTCTTTTGAATCTCTTTTTCTCTCTGCTTCTGCAGGACCGGGTATTTTTCTACTCTGGCAGAGCTTTAAAACTCCACTCGACTACAGATCCTTTTCTATTTCTTTTTCCCTTTCCCTGGTTGCTGCATTAACACCAAGCTCACGGGCTCAAAATCTCTTTGCCTAAAGGAAGTCCTCTGTAAGATGACAGTTTATCAGCCCAATTGAAATGCAGTCTTTTAGGATTTGCGCTGTTTCTCTCAAACTCTCTGTGCTAATCCTCCTGTTATCGTCTCTGTCAGATTTGTTGACTACAATCAGTTTGTCACCCGAAGTCATATGTGAAGACAAGTGACTAAGTCTACACCTCAATGCTTTGGTTTGCAAAGGCTAAACCTAATAAAGTTTTAAACTGTGAATCACCTTTTATTAAATAAAGACAAAAGCCATCTGTCACCTTCCATCTCTGTATTTGCCAATTTATATGCATGAGCGATTGCTATACTTCATTAGTTTCATAAGCAAAAGAATGCAAGTCTAGGAGTCCTGCTGGTTTGTTTACTGGTTGGTGCTTCAGACAGGATGGGAATCCAGTGCTCAGTGTGATGCATACAGGCAGAGAGGCTAAGCAGTTGGAAATATCTTTTCCTCAGAGTTCACCCACAGGCACATGTCTACACACACACACACACACACACACACACTGACTCCACTAATCTTGAATTTGTAACAGAAGCTATCTAAATGAAGAAGATTCTAGTCATTAATGTAACAAGCCAGGGAAAACTGTACTCAATTCCTTCTAGAAAGAGCCGTTTTTGGAGAAAACACTTTGATAGATAAATAGAAGTAAAGAATTGGATTCTAACGTCTGTTCAACATTCACATGATGTTTTCTCAGTGTGTGCATTAAACAACAAGGGAACTTTGTTATGCTTCTTAGAAGGGGGAGAGAGACAAGGGTGGAAAAAGAGGTAGATGTCCACCTGTGACATGGTAGATGGCTGTGGTTCGAAGGAAAATAACTTTGCTATGACTCTCAAAGTTTGGTAACTTTAGTCAAACTCAAATTAGTTTGTGTGGACAGAATTTTGTTTTGTTTTTAATTTTTTATGTTTATTTATTATTACTTTTTAATTTACTTGAATTTTGTTGAGAGTGATATGTTTAATTTTTTTTGGCCCAGGCTGATTTATAATAAAGGTTGCTGCTCTCACTGACCTTATAATCAAGAGGGGATAGAGACAAATGTACAAATATATAAACAATATAATTTAATAAAATGGTAAGTATTATAGGAAAAATAAGCCAGGGTGTTGAAAAAACATTTGACTGGGGTTGGGATGGCTGCAGATGGATGAAGAAAGGGCTCATAAATGAGATGACATTTTCGCTGAGTGTAAAGGCAAGAAATAACTCATGTTCAAATATTTTGCTACTTGATTGTAGGAGATACAACGATGAAAATGAAAGTTCTGATCTGCAAGGAATTTAAGGTCGAAGAGGAGGAATAGGATACAACAAAAGTAAAAAGCATTTAATAAAGTTCCGTACACTCATTCAGAAATAACTCTTTAACATATATCCCACTGGAATTAATCTCTGTGAGAACCAAGAGAATGACCAGCTAGCTCCATGTTGAAGAAATCTTCCTGGACAAATTAAATTCCTAGACAAGGAAGAGTAAACCAGTTAAGTCTTTTCATTGCAAACATCAGAATCTAACTCAGGCTTAGTAAGAATGACTGTGCATTGAGTGTGCATAGAGGGCATCTCAGGAGTGGTAGAAAAATGGAAGACCTGTTTTGGCAAACAAGTTGGAAATAAGATGCTGCCTAATTTTACGCAGTAGCAAAAATCTGGCCAACATGCCATCATGTTATCATTTCTCTATGCCATAGTTGCTGCTGTGGACATTGTCTCCGTGACAGAACCCAGGCCTGGCAGAGACACTCATAAACTGCACCACATCAAAGAAATCATGACTGTCTTATGCTCTTGAATCAGTCCTACGGTCCTGCTTCAAGGTCCCAAGCAAGCGCATTCAATCTGCCGAAACAATATATCATTCCCTTTCTAGGTTCAGGGGACAGGGTTCTGTTTGCCTTCTGTAATGAGAGATAAAACTCTGCATTTTACTAAAACTCACACAATAGGGATCCCCTTGAAACAGGAAAGAGAATTGGGTTTTGAACAGGAAAAATGACAATTATCCAATATACTTCACTATTTGTGACTGCCCACTATCCATATACACCTCTATACTTATGCTACTATTCCAAAATAAAAAGCTCTTGAATAATACAATAATATTTGTATTGTCAAAAATTGTACTTACTCTGCCCCAAGACCAGAATATCTCCTGTGTCTTCCATATAAATTAAATTCTCCTGTCTCCAGATTTGTCACAATCCCTCCTCAATCGTGTCCGATGAAGAATCTATACCACTATTCACCATGGACCAACAGCATTATCATCACCTAGAAACTTGTTAGAAATACAAATTCTTGAGCCACAACTCACATCTATTGAATTTGTACCTTTGGCCACAGTGCTCAGCAATACCCTCGGTTGATTGTAAGAGTCACTGGTTTCTAGAACTTTCTGTGATGATAGAAATATTCTATATCAGCACCATTCAATATGGTAGTCACTAGTTAATATGTGGCTATTGAGCAAATGCTAGTATGGTATAGAAGTTCAATTTTTTTTTTAATTTTTTTTTCAACGTTTATTTATTTTTGGGACAGAGAGAGACAGAGCATGAACGGGGGAGGGGCAGAGAGAGAGGGAGACACAGAATCGGAAACAGGCTCCAGGCTCCGAGCCATCAGCCCAGAGCCCGACACGGGGCTCGAACTCACGGACCGCGAGATCGTGACCTGGCTGAAGTCGGACGCTTAACTGACTGCGCCACCCAGGCGCCCCTAGAAGTTCAATTTTTAATTTAACTTAATTTTAATTTTAGTAGCCACATGTAGCTAGTGGTTATCATATTAGTGTAAGGCTATAATATTACCACTGCTGACACACAATAGTAGGAAAAAAGGAGAGAAAAGATACAAGGTATTAAAATATACAAATTATACATGACATGACAAGGAAGAAAATATTGATGGGAGCTTTAGTTCTGTTTTAAGGGAGCTTTAGCCTTATAACTAACCTGTGTAGTCTGCTTACAAGAAGGAGTTATGAGTGTAGCTTATATTTATAACTCCCACATAATTTATACTGCCTTTGTTTTCAGCCAGCACCTCTACTACTCAGAGCTCTTTAGGTGGTTTGATGACCTGAAGTTTATTCTGGAAGGATCTTGATCCTTATTGGTCCTGCCATTTTTGTGTAACTGGTCATCTCCATTAACATTTACCCCTAGTCAGGGTAGTAGAAGAAAGTACCTCAGGGGCTTCCTCAGTCCCATCAACCCACCCTTCTTGCCTCTTGGTGAAATAGCAACACTTGGCTGTATTAATATGAATATTAATTCATATCCTATAGAACATTATAACTTTATCTTTCACTGTTTTACCAATAGCATGAACTATTAGGAAGCAGCCAGTCTGTGATGGACTCTGATGCACCACCCTGTTCCCCATCCTCTCTTCTGTTATGTAGGACTTAGTACTCTAATTGCTAAGAGGGCTGCTGGAAGGTAGCCCTCAGCTGTCATCCCCTTTTGGGGAGTGCCTCAGCTGGATAGAGCCATCTCACTGAAGTCCACCATCCTTTGTGGTGACTCATATCCATTGACTGATAGACTCAGAGGTATAAAGAGCTGGTCTTCTTACCCAATGTAAGATGGTTCTAAAAGATCACAGACCTTAGCTACCCATAAGGTCCACTGAATTTTTTTGAGACCATAGCACAAGTTGACTTCACTCTTCATCAAGTCCTTCTTCCACATCTCTTCCCTTCCAGGTGTACATCTCTAGAGAGCTCCCTGAAAAAACTGTATGCTACTCTTCATCTCAGAGTCTAATTTCTGAGCAAATCCACCCGAAAAAAATGTTTTATTTCAATTCTGAGGAACGATTGTTCCTACTATGAGAAGCAAATTCTTCTTTGGGCATTAAAACCTCGACAGCCCAGAAATCCAGAGTTGCAGGAATGGAAAGCAAATTTTGTGAGTGGATCTTTTTTTTTTTTTTTTGCTGAATGCATGTATTCTGACATGAAAGTAGCTACCCTATATAATGTTTGCTGGCTCAGAGCATCTATGACATCCAACGGTTCTGCATAACAGTCTCTCATGCCATTGTCTCTAAGCTGGCAGGAACCATAACTAACTTGCCAATCATCCTTTCTTTTATTTTTCTAAGGCCAGCTGCTTCTGGGTACAGGATCAACCTATTGACTCTCTTTGGGATCATGATGGAAGCAGGGCATTTCTTTCCACCAAATTTATATCAAGAGAGATTCCCTTCAAACAGGAAGGCGGTTTGCATACACACAACTGAAATGTTGACATATTGCTATGGAGACTTTAACCTGGAGGGCAAGAAATTACGTAGGATAGGGTAAATACACTCTAAATGGGAAGAGCAAGAGAAACACACATGTAGCTGAGTAAGCTCTAGACAGGTTCATGAACTAGAAAGTAGTCTGGTTTATCACAACACTGAAGGCAAATATTCAAACTTAAAAATAAGTTAGGGCACCTGGGTGGCTTAGTCTGTTGAGTGTCTGATTTCAGCTCAGGTCATGATCTCTCACGGTTTGAGGGTTTGAGCCCCACATTGGGCTTTGTGCTGACAGTGCGGAGTCTGCTTCAGATTCTCTATCTCCTTCTCTCTCTGCCTCTCCCCCGTTAGTGCGCACACACGCACACCCTTTCTCTCTCTCTTTTTCAAAATAAATAAACATTAAAATTTTTTTCAAAACTTAAAAATAAATATTATAAATACTGTCAATAATTAAACATGTCCATTTAAATACAAATTAATATTTGATACCCCAGTTAATTATGCTCACATGTTTTCAAATGGGGTCTTGGACATTAAAACTCTAGTGAGCATAATTAGAATTAATTTACATGCCCCAAGGTAAAAAAAAAAATAATTTCATTTGAAATATTAGATAAGTCTGACTTATAATTGAGATGAATCTTTTCACTATTTAGTCTGACAAATGAATTTTCTGTACATATTATGTTCCATGAGATATGAGTAGCCATCTGGACCTTATCCAATGTAGGATGATCAGGGTCATTCAAAATTACTTCATCAACTGAATTTTTAAAATGTGCATTGGAATGCAAATGTCAACTTATGTCTGGCAGCTTATTAGAATAATTTGAACTATTTGAACAGCTGAAAACTTCATTTTGAAAACTTTGAAAATTAGCAGCAGTTGGATACACCAATCTCCCATCCAGACAGAATTTAATTTGCTCTGCTCGTTGACTTGATATGAACTAAAAATATCCTCAAAATTGTCTTACATACATGTGCCTTTCATATC